CCAGATGTGTCAGGTTTTTCTAAAGCTTTTTAAAAATAGTTCTCCATTGTCATTCCTTTGGCTGTTTCAGAATTTGGGGAATCTGTAACTTCATCAGCGTTTTTCGATTTTAGTTTTTGTAGTTCATTTTTAATACTTTCTTCTGCGACTGGTTTGAACAATCCGTGCCTATAGCGAGCTAAATAGGTGGATATGGAAAATAAATTATTGTTTTCCTGGAATGAAAATTTTGAACAAAATTCTGTTTTCAAAGTCGTGGCTGTTAGCGGAATCGGATAAGAACACTGTTATTTTTTAAAAAAGCACCCCGTTTTTTAAAAACATTTGAGTCTCAGATACTTACGTAATTCTTGTCTTATTAAAGGTCAGACCTATAGTCTTTTAATTATTTGAATATCGCTCCTCTTTAAAGCCAGACGTTGATCATTTCTGCTGGAAATCCCTATTGAAGGAGCTTACCCTTTGACTTTAAATAGCAAAGAAGGGACAGTACATATCCATCCGAAAAAATATTGCCCGAAAAGTAAACAAAATTACTGTTCTTTAATTTTTTGCTAAAAATAAATTCCTCAAACAAACACGTCAAAACAAATCACGAAAATTTGGTTAAGAATTACAGTGCACAGCTTCTTTTTTTGTGTCTAGTAGTTTTTTTAAAATTGGTCCAAAAAAATAATATTAAAGAAAGAAACCAATGCAGGTATTGAAAGAAGAGAAAACAAAAAATATTGTTAAAAAGGCTAGGTTCCCTTTTACGTACGTCAAAGGTCAAGTAGAAGTTGGAACTTGCATGACTGCCCATTGATTGCTCAGTTATATAGCTGAAGAAATAATAAGTTTAAATACATTTTTGTCTAAGTTGATAAATATGAACAGTTTTGTTACACAAATACTCCCACGACCACAGGCAAAAATATTGGCTACAATTTGTCATTTTGTTTGCCATATATACGTTTTATCGGTGCACTTGCACAACATTCGTATTCGCATTGATTATTGCGAATGCGAAAGCGAATGCGAATGTTAAAATTAATGCGGAAGCTCTGCAGTTGCAACAACCCTGGTACAAATATCCGAACCGTAACCAAACTGTCTTACTTATGCCATTTTCTAAAAACAAAAACTTTCTAAAATGAAACTGCAGTAGTTTTCATCT